CAGCCCACAACAGAGAGTTTCCATATAGGCCCATCCTTGAAGACACAGGGCTCCTTTGATAGGTAACTAGCTCTGATGCTTTGCCAAACGTCCTCTGAACCAGACTGCAGTGGGAAACTCTTCCGCCCAACTGTCCTTCCCTCCTACCCTTCCTCACGAGGATCTGCTGGCTTTCCCAGGCTTCACCGAATCCCTCCCCATTGTCCCTCTCAGGTATCCCTCCCAATACATCTTTCACATATCTAATTCCATCTGCTTCTTGGAGGATCCCGACACAGGTACACAGAAAATCCAATGAACCTACAGAGAAACTATTAGAATAGACAATTGCTAAGATAATTTAGTAAGACTTCAGGATACAAAATCAATATATAAAAAGTGTTTGCATTTTGTTATCAGTAACAGGTAAAAAATTATATCTTAAAGAAAGATGCCATTTACAATAGTATTTAAAAAAAGAAAGCCCCTCAGACTCAATCTAACAAAAGTTGTGCAAACCCATCATGAAGAAATTTATAGAATTTTGAAAGACATTAAGAAAGGCCTAAGTAAACACATAGGATATACTATGGTCATAGATTGGAAGAATCAATATTATAAATATTTCACCTTTTTCCAAATTGATTTATTGATAGAGTACAATCCTAATCAAAATACCATTTTTTTTCCTTTTTTTGGTGGTAGGGACTGGATTCCAAAATTTATATGAAAGGAAAAAAAAAGTCAGAAATAGCCAAGGCATTCTTGAAGAAAAATAAGAAGTTTGAAGCACTCTCCTTATGATATACCAATCTCTATTATAAGACTATAGAAATTTAGACAGTCTTATATTGATGCAAGGAGAGAAAATTTGACCAATGGGAGAAAAAACATGAACATATAGATTTTTGCTTTATGACAGAGGTGGTATTTCAGATTAGACTTTTCAATTATTGGTGCCTAGAAATTGGATACATTTATGTAAAATAAATGAAACTGGACTCCTACCTCACACCATGTGTAAAAATTCATTCCATGCAAATTAAAAACAAAATGTGAAAGACAAAACTATTAAGGTTTTAGAATAAACTATAAGAGACCATCTCCCATGATTTCAGGGTTGAGAAATATTTCTTAAGCAAAACACATTTGCCAACCAAAAATTTTTATAAAACATCAAGGTCGGTAGATGGTTCTATACTGAAATTTAAAATAAGAGAAGACAACACAAAGAAAGAGTACCAGAAATTGAAGACGATATGTGCAATATATATAACTGTAACAAAAGATGAGTATATAAAATATATGAAGAACTCCTATAAATCAATAACAAACCTTCAAAAGGCAAACGAGTCTTCAAAAAGTGCAAAAAACAGGAACCAACAATTCAAAAATGGGAAAATTCAAATAACCAATAAATATATTAGAACATATCCAACCTAAGCAATATTTTAAAAATAGAAATTAAAGTCACAACATACCGTCACATAGCAAACAGACAGGCAAACCTTTAAAGTCTGGCAATACCAAGTGTTCCAGGATACTGAGCAAAGGAAACTTTCATCCACTAGGGGTAGGAATGTAATTTGGCACATTTTCTAAAACAGTTTGACACTATGTAATGAAGTTGAAGTTACCCTATCACTAGCAATTCCACTTCTGGTTTACTCTCAAAAAATTCTTCACTATGTGCCCAAGGAAATACGTTTAAGAATGTTCACAGAAGCAATGTTTATAATAGATAAAACTTGCAAATCATCCAAACACCCATGAGCCATAGAATGGCTGATCAAACTGTGGCATGATCAAAACATGAAACACAAGCACACCTCAGAGATACAGCGGGTTTGGTTCCAGACCACAATAAAGCAAATATTGCAATAAAGCGAGTCACACGCATTTTTTGGTTTCCTGGTGAATAAAAGTTCTGTTTATACTATACCATAGTCTATTCAGTGTCCAATAGCATTATATCTAAAAAAACAATGTACATAATTTAAAAATATTACTAAAAGTGCTAACCAACATCTGAGCCTCCAGCGAGTCACAATCTTTTTGCCGCTGGTGGGCTTACCTTCAACTTGTAAAAACCACAGTATTTGCGAAGTTCAATAAGGCAAAGCACAATAAAATGAGGTATGCCTCTAGTACATAGCAATGGGTGAACTTTAGTTACAACCAGAGGTATCAGTTATTAACTTGACACTTAAATTTTAGGTATCAATGTGATCGCACATATAAAATATTGAAATAAAGATTCCACCAACAATCGATTGTTGTTAGAAGTGTATACACAGGTGGTAAAATTATAAAGAAAAGCGAGGGAGTGACTGCCACAAAAATCAGGGTGACTTACTTGCACAGAGAGAACAGGAAACATTGGGTTGTCGGAAAAGTCATGACACATTTTTGCAACGAAAAACAGAAAAAATACGTCATGACTTTTCTGACAACCCAATATAATCAGTCGAGTCAAAAGGGAGGTCCCAAGGTTACTAGGAATGTTCCACATTTTAAACTAGGAGGTAGGACCATGGCTCCTGGCATTATAATTAAGCTTTAAACTCTACATGTCTTAAATGCATTCAAAACTTATAGAAAAATACCCATATAACCCAAAGCTGCTTCTTTCAAACAAATCAGTAAAATTGACAAACAAGTACTCCAATGAAAGAGTCCTTGTCAAAACCACCTTCTTGCCAAGCACAATGATCAATTCTCTATCATAATGGAACTCTGCCTTTCAGCAGCATTCTCGAGTTGACCACTGATTTCTTGCAACACCATTCTCTTGGCTCCTGTGAGACTCCCACCATGCTCCTGCTCAGCCTCTCAATGTTGGGAGTACTTCAGGCCTGGTCCTGAATCTTCTCTGTACTTTTTCCCTAAGCAATCCCATTGAATTCCGTGCCTTCAAATACTGCTTATATGTTGATGATCCCCAAATGAGTATCTCTAGCCCAGGCCTCTCTGAATCCCAGACTCACATCTGTTCGTTTCGCTCATCTAGGGCTGGCCCTCCATCATCAATTCTACAGAACTCTAATGGGAAGATGGGGATAGGAGGCTTGTCCCTGCTATTTGTAGCTACAGCTGCAAGCAGTCCATGTTCACCATGGCCCACAAGCTCAATCCACAGCTCCAACTGTCCACAGATCTACACAGGTGGTGGTTTGTGGTAACACTTGTCTCTTCACATAGACTTTGTGTCGTCACTCAATTTGAGTATGACTGTGGCTTTAATGTAAGTGCTCTTTTCCTAATAAGTGGATTTTCAAGTTGGCTGTACCCTTCTGTTCTATATTTTGAAGTCTGGAGGACACACTGTCCATAGGGAGGGGACTCACAATGCCACATGAATTCTGCTGGTGACACATAGCCAAGGAGAAGAGGCAGGCCTATTCCGCTCTGCAGTCAAGCCTATTAACACAACAGGACATGAGGGAGACAAGTCCTTTCAACCTGAGAATAACTGTGCCTTCAGCCACTGCAACTGAACCTCCTGGGTGGAAGAGGCATCCTCAGTGACAGAAAAGCTAGGTTAAAGCTTATTTGAGCTGCCCAGGAGGCCAAGAGAATTCACTCTACCAGCACTCAAGAATGCGTTAAAAACCTGCTATGAGTCACACTCTAAGCAGTTATCTCTAATCTTTACAATAACCCTGAAGGTTACAATGATTATCACTCTCTGAAGTGACCATCCCAGGGCCATGCCATGGGTATCTGCCTCCTGAGCCAATTTATACCCGCTGGGGCAGTCTCCCATTGTAACCACCCAGTGTGGGGGGCCCCCTACTCATCAAACCATTTGCTGATTCTGGTTGATGGGGCCCAACTCTGTGACAGGCCTATTAGTAACAACTCCAGTGGGTCTGAAATAAATTCTTCCAAGGCCTCATCTCCCCACCACCCCAGGCTGCCCTGACCCCCTGTCTTCCAGTCCCACTGCTCTGTTCTGGGGTGAGACCTGCAGCCTGGCCCTGCCAGGACTGTCCTGGCTCCATAGAGGGACCCCCTTCTCAGAAGCTCCTCCATAACCCACAAATCTGCCCTAATCACTTGATGGCTCCTAGGTTCAGATGGAGTTTTAGTCCCCAAGGTAGAATTTTCTAGAGTGGCTTCTACTGAGGATTAACCTCTGGAGAAGACTTCAAATAAAATCAAAGCAGGTTCTAAGATCAAAAATCTTTGGGAAATTTCTCTTGGAGATGCACACTATACCATCATTCCTGGGAAGTTTGCCTAGAGAAATCTGCTTCAAATTTCTGATTTCATGGATTTTTAAATTAAATTTATATCCTAAGAAGTTGACTTTCACCTTGGTTTCCTTTCTGCATAGCCAGGACTCCTGAAATCCCCTTTTATTTTAAAGGGACTCTACGCCCAAAGAAATCAGATGTGGGTATCAGATAACTAAAAGGACATAGTCGTCCCTAGGTATCTGCGGGCGATTGGTTCCAGAATCCCTCCCTATACTAAAATCGAGTCGCTTATATAAAACGGCGTAATATTTGCATACAGCCTATGCACATCCTCCTATACACTTTAAAACATCTCTGCATTACTTATAATACATAATGTAATGTAAATGCTGTATAAATGGTTGTTATACTGTATTGTTTAGGGAATACAGTATAACAACCATTTATACAGCATTTACATTGTGCTATATATGACAAGAAAAAAACATCTGTACATGTTCAGTTAAGAGGCAACCATGGTAGGCCTGGCTACATAGTACATGTCAGCAGCAATGTAACTTCTTTTTAGTTTTGGTATTTTTGATTCGTGGTTGGTTGAATCTGCAGATATAGAACCGGCTGATACTGAGGGCCAACAGCACCGTGCAGGCACTGAGTGGTGGTATCCCTTTATATTGAAATGTGCACACAGTCTAATTTCTTGGTTTCACTGATGAAATAATTCATATACTGAAGCACATTAAAGCAAACTCTCTCAACCTCTGTCCCGTAAACATGGCAAGTGAACTGTGTCTCCACAGACTATTCAACGAACAACCAATACATGTGAAAGATAATTGCTTTTAATTTTCTAAGTCTTCACTTATGCAACATAATAAAGGCAGATTTATGTAACTTGATATGACATTTTTACAAAAACATTTCCTTCCAACACCTGGTCAGTAGTATATAAATATTTACAATGAAAAAATAGGCAAGGAAAAAGGAAATCTTCATTATTCAAGTCAATTTTTTTCCAATGCTTATCAGAATTTTGAAAATAAAATACTTCATTAACTTTCTAGTCATCCATATTTACACACTGCTTTAGCTGATGGTTTAAAAAAATCTAGGTTTAAGGATGTTTTTGTTCCACATCACTCCTACTTTGTTCTACACTATTTTATAACTTATCTGAAAGAGTAAATTAAATATAAAAATGTAAACTTTGAAGGAAGAGAAAAGAAGAATAAACATGTGTAAATGCACTAAGATATAAAGGTTCTTACAGAGGTTAATATTTTACAACACTAAAAACCAAAATAAAATGTTCTATATATTTCCTTAGTAGAGACATTTTGTTTTGATTTAATCTGATTATATTAACAAAAATTGCCTCTAAAGAGGATGTTAAAAAAATAGCAATGACATTACCATCTTAATTGATGAATATCCTTTGCCCTAATTCTCTCTAACTGATTTTTTTGAAAAGTGACATATATAAATTATATCATGGAGAGCTTAAGAAGCTTCAACAACGTGTGATATCTTTTAAATATGAAGATTTTAAAAAAGAAATGTGAATAGTGCAAACCAGCCTATTTAACTTAGTGCTATTACAAATATTTTCAACTCCAATGTATACAAACATGACTTTGATTCTACCAGACGCCATGCCATTGAAACACTGAAGTATTTGTGGGCAGAAATGGTGGATGCCCGCAGCATGCCAGTCGCCTTGAGAATTTAAATGTGAATGTTTATGTCAGATAACATAATTTATAGCATTTGCAGCTCCCTGAGCAGCTAGGGAACGCTTCAGGTGTGGGAACTGCGCCGCCCTCTCGTGCCCAGGGACACGCGAAGTCTTGGCTCTCTGGCTTTATAATGCTCATTAAAGTCCAACCGAAAGCTAAGAAACCGGAGACTTTCATCAGGACTAGTCGTCAGCAACACCAAAAACTGCTGCACAATCCCCTAAAAAGAAACAAAAAGAACACAACATTCATTTCAGAAAGGAACTATCCACAAAACAGTGGTCCCCACCTCCCATTTTAATCCTATTTGGGGTTGTTTTTCCTTCCAAACATAAACAGCCACCATGGCAGGTGTCCTGGATGATGAGAACTGCTTCGGGAACTCTATAGTTTACCCACCTAATTGAGCCCATGTTAGGAAGAGATGCGCATTTTCACAAATACAAATTAGCAATCAGTAAATTTTATTTATAAGAGCTAACCAATAGATCTTTCCATTTTTCCCTAAGTTCGTAAGAATAATCAAAACAGCAAAGCAACTGATGTTAAAACATCCTATTCTTTTCATCTTAAAAAAAGTGTTACACTTTTCATCTTTCACATGAGTTACGAAAGAATATTTATTTAACCATAAAGCCCTGATGGGAAACAAATTGAGAACAAAAAAATGGACACATGCTCTAAGCCATATTTTTAGAGTCCCATGCCTTTTTGGATGTTGGGCTGCAGCTGTCATCCTGAAGTGTGGGGCAGAGTGCAGCTGTATGACCTCCTTATCAAGGGGAATTTGTAAAGATGATAAGATGTGACAGAATTTACTCAAACTTTAATATGACAAAATTACTGACTGCTTGTATTCAGGATTGAGTCACTTAATAAGTAGAAACTCCACCCCTGTCAGGCTCCACAGCCTATCACACAGATAACAGACTTTATCTGTTCAAGGTAAATGTTGTTCATCTCTATACTTTCAGGTTTGGAAAAGTCCTTATCTGCAGAGAAAAAAAAAAAATCACCAAAACACCATAATGCTTTCCAAGCTCTAACAGCTGTCACTTTCCCTCTCCTTCCTTCTGAGGGAGTTCCTGAAGAGGTGGTATATGTGGAACTTTTTAAAAGTTCAAGGGTCAATTATAATTTGTCTTTCTAATTAGCTATTAGCAACTGAAAGGGAAAATTCTTCATAAAAATCTTTTCCTCTATATTTCCAATACGAAAATCATATTGAAAAGCAGATGAAATCAGAAACAAACCCCAGAAAATAGAAATAAAGAGCAGAGCACATGGACTGTGTTGATCAGCTTCTCTTGCCGGCAACTTTAGATCTTTCTTCTACCTGAGCTTCACGGCCCAGCTGCTGTGGCTACTGAGCTTCTCACACAAGCAGCCTCCTGCACATATGATCCTGCTGTACCTCCCTGTGCACTTCTCTCCAGCATGCCACACGCTGCTGCCTGACCTCAGAGCTCACAAAGTCTGAGCTGCAGAGCTGCTCCCACCACTGATAACACTAGAATCATCCCAGGCAAGGGTTCCCAGACCTGCACCACAGAGCAGTCAGATCAGAATCTCTGGGAAGGGTCACAGCCAAGGCTGGGAACCACTGCAGGTGTTACTCACAACTACATTGATTGAAATGGCTCCTTTTAAATCATTTTGACAGCCAATTGTCAGTTAGAGAAAACAAGTGATGTGATTTGGACAGCATTTTATTACTCTAATATGCACCTGGTAGAAGTGCGTCAATATTCGCAACTGGGAACACATTTTTGGTATAGATTCTTGAAATTCTTGGATCCTCTTGTTCTCCTCCTCTTCCTCTGCTGCTGTCACTCCCCACTGGCCCTGAAGAATCAGAAGTACCAAATTAAATTAAAATCTGAATGGAAGAAACTGTTAGAGTGGGACTGAGATAAAATGACAGGAGTGGGGAGATGTATGCTTTCTATGCACCTTTGTATTACTAAGAACTTTTATGATAATTTTCTGATGCCAAATTTTTCTCCAGCTTACTTTTTCCAATTAATAAGGTACCTTGGAAATATTTTAAAAGACATAAGATTTATGCGCTCTGAAGAGAAACCAGAGTATTGGAAATATTTTATATTAATAGATATGGTTAACATAGAACTCCCTCATTGTTTTTAATATAGTATTACACTGTATAACATGTAACAATTTAGATAATGTGTCACCGTCTTTTGCTATTACAAACAATGCTATAATAAACAGCCTTGTCTCTTTCTGTCATTTTGCATACATTTTTAAGAGACAGTACACACAAAACTAGAACCAGATGATTCAAAGTACTGGCCACCCCTTAAACCTTGCATTAATTCTTGACTTTAATGGGAATATTTCTTACTATTTCCCCTAAGCATGATGTATTTTTTTGTAATAGAGGTACATCCATCTACTTCTATTTTTTTTTTTTTAAAGATTTTTATTGGGGAATTGGGGGATGGGAACAGTGCTGGGGAATTGGAGAACGGGGAACAGACAAGTTGCTGTCGTTTTGTTCTTCAATCTAGTTGTGGAGGACGTTGCTTCACTGGCCCAAGTTGGCACCATCATTGCGCTCTTCTCTGGCGAGGCAGATCAGTCGCCAGCCTCTGGACGGCCGCTCACTGCGGCTGCTGGCCGCTCACGCTGGCTGCTGGCCACACACGGTAGCCCATGGCAACCCACTGCCACAGAGGCTGCAGCCCACACCGTCGCCGGTGACTCATGGCAGCCCAGCTCCAGGTTGAGCTGTTGTTCAGCATCTTAGCTGTGGAGGGCAGTGTCACTGGCCCTCACATGTGGGATCCGAACCGGGACCCTCTGGCGTCCCAAGCCAGTTCTTAACCATCGCGCCACTCGGCCGGCCCCATCTACTTCTATTTTTAAAAGACTATTCTCAATCAATGGTGAATTTGACCAAATACTTTTTCAGCCGGCATAGATAGAAATCATCAAAGGATTCTTTTCATCAACTGACACAGTGAATTAATAGATTTCCTGCCCCTGCATTCCTGAAATGAACCCTTGTCTTGGCAAATTATTCCTTTAAAATTCTGTTAAATAGTTTCCAGTAATATTTTATGTAATATTTTTTCCATTAATATTTATAATCCAGATTTGGTCTTTCTTTTTGTGTTCTGGTGTCTGCTTCATAAACAGAACTTGGAAAATTTCCTTTTCTATGACTGGAATAATTAACAGAGCACTAGAGTTCATCACTGCAGAATGGTCTCGTAGGATCTCTGGGCCCTGTCCGGCCTGGTGCTTTTTAAGTGGCAGAGCTACTCAACAACTTTATTTCTTGTTTAGCAGTTGTTCTTTTTAGAATTTGCTTTGTCTTCTGGGGTCAATTTTGCACATCTATAGAAAATCATTCATTTCCTTTAGGTATGTAGATTTATTTCCATAGAACTGAGAAAAATCATAGATTTTTTCTCTCTCACATATTCTGTATATTTGTGGTTTCTCCTTCCATTACCTATTAGGTTAGTTAATAGCTCATTTTATTTCCCCACCAGCCCGTGGACTCCCAGAAAGAATGTGCTCTTGAATTTTAATCACTCCTTTTTTTTCTATTTCATTAAGTTTTGCTCTTGTCATTACTAAATGTTTCCCCTGGTCTTCTTTAGGTTTATTTTACTGCTGCTTTTCTAACATCTTGAGTGGGGTTTTCAGTTTACTTACTGTCATTCTCTCTTGTTTATTCATATAAGCATTGAGTATTATGGATTTTATAATTATGTCCTTAGTTATATGCACTTGAGCTTTCATGTCTGAGAGAAACTGAATTATACTTCTAATGTTGATATATGCTTTGATCCATTCTTTTTGTATTTCCTACTTTTTGTTTTATGAATACCGATTCTATATTGTTTCAATATTCATTGTGACTTAACACCTTTTATCATCACAAGGTATCCTTGGTTTACTGCTTTTTGCCCTAAACTGCAACCTGTTTCCTTTGAAGAATTTAATTTGCTTAGTATGCTTTGTCTGTTCTTTTCACTCTATGTCACTTTGTTCTAAGCATCTCTTCTATACCAGACCTTCCCAACTAGTAGGTCTGCCCAGACAATGAGCCCTTTAGTCCTCTAACAAGCCACCCTCAGTGATAAGCAATCCAGTCCACTTACCCAGGACAATCAGGCAAACACTATCTATTACTGAGAGTACTTTTATTAAGTTAATTTAACCTAGTCACCTTGATTGATAGGATGGATAGTATGTCTGGTCTTAGTTCTGTCATTATATATACATGATATGCTTTTTGTTTACCTGAGGGTGATAATCTGTAACTATGGTCTGTGTTTCTCCTCCAACCTGAAAGATTTATATTTTTGTTCTATAGCTAATTTCATAAAACTTATCATTTTCCTCATGTGTTTAACACCCCAACCTGAGTAATAATTATTCTCTCTTTCTGCCACCTGATTTTAGAAGACATTTTCATGTTTATAGCTTTTAATATATTTATACCTGTTTTACTTACTTTATGAGTTTTAAAAAAATCTTGACACTGGGTTTTAAAAGATGATGAAATTACAAAACTTATATTACTTCCTATCTCTTCTTCCCCTACCAACTTGTGTCTTTTATTTTTTAAACATACCATTTTATTGCAGTATAATACATATAAAGGAGCAGAAGAATCCTAAGTGGACAGCATGACAACTGTCACAAGATGAATATACCCAAGCACCACCATCCAGATGGAGAAACACAACATAACCAGTGCCCCAGAAGACCCTCTTGTGGCCCCTTCCAATTACTACCGTCTTCCTCTCCGGGAGGTATTATAGCTATTAGGAATGACGCCTGGGGTGTCTGAGGATGCATTCCTGTTGAGTATATACTAACAGTGAACATGCTGCGTTAGATGTTCCTAAATTCAGCTTTAGTGAACTGCCAAACAGTAAGTATTCCAAAGTGGCTATATAATCTTAACTTCTACCTGTGGGATATGGCAGTTCTCATTTTTCATATCCTCACCAACATTTGCTGTTGTCTGTTTTTAAAATTTTAGTCCTTCTGTTGGGGGTTTAATGTATATCACTGGGGTTTTTAATCTTCATTTACCAGACATTAATGAGGGTGAGTACCTTTTCATAAATTTAAGACCTATTTTCAAGGAGCTGTCTTACTGATTTGTAGGAGCTCTTTATACAGCTGGATGAGCTGTCACTTAAGTGTACATAAATATCTTCTCCCATTTGTCCTTCCTTGAGCCAACACCATTAATTACTGGAACTTTATTTTGAGTCTTGAGTATATATGTATACTGAATTATAAATGTATATCCTCTAATTTTATTCTTGTTCAATATTCTCTTCACTATGTTAGGCCCTATGTATGTCCACATAAATTTTAGAATTAGCTTATCATTTTCTACCAAAAATAAAATAAAATAAACTGCTGTGATTAGAACTGGAATTGCACTGACTCTATATATATCAGCTCTCCAATCCATGAACTTGATACATTTGTCTACTTATTTAGAGTCCCTTTAATATTTCTCAGTGATGCAATGGTCAGCAAACTTTTTTTGTAAAGGGTCAGAGGGCAAATATATTAGGGTTTGCAGGCCATACGGTGTTTGTTGCAATTACTCAATTCTACTTCTATAGCACAAGAGCACAGATAATATGTAAATGAGTGGGCATGGCTGTCCCAATAAAACTTTATCTATAGAAACAGATGGGAGACCAAATCTAGCCTGCAAATCTTAGGATGCCATGCTGTTCTATAATTTTCTGTATGGAGGTCTTGTATATATATTTTATTACATTTTAATGTTCATTTAATGCATTTCTTTTAAAATTTCATTTTGTTTGTTACTGACAGGAAGAAATACAATTGATTTTTGCATAATGACCTTGTTCCTGCTACCTTCATAAATTCAGTTATTAATTCTAGTTATTTATCTAAAGGTCATTTTGGATTTTCTATATCCACAACCATGATTTTTATATAAAAAAAAATGGAGAAGAAAACAATGACAGCTTTCTTTCTTTCATTTTGTATTTCTTTTTCTTGGTTTATAACATTGGCTGGACCACCAATGCAATACTGAATAAAGTGGAGACAGCACCATGTCTCATTCCTACGACCAGGAGGCACTTTTAATACTGCAGCATTAAGCTTATTTTGGTGTACATTTTTCAGACAACCTTTTATCAGACTTTACTTGGTATTAAATGATTTTCTCCATCTATTCAGACGATCGTAATTTTTCATAAAATTTCATCGTAAGTTTGTAAATTGAATTACAATATTTTTATTAGAATGATAAAAGAGCTTTGTATTCTTGTTTGTAACGTCCTATCCATTGATATATCACAGTTTGGTGGTATTTTATTTGGACTTTTACACCCACATTCATGACAGAAACTAGTCCCGAGTAGAGAGCAACAAAGCCATACTTGTCTAAATGCTTTATTTTGTAGATTTGACTTTGGAACCAGATAACTGTTTTAGACAATTAAATTCAGTTTTGTTTTATAAATTAAAGCTATCCCTAAAATGTAAAAGCAAAAATGAACCAACTAATCTAATTGTGTATTGAGTTAGTGGCATAACCATAAGGGAGTAACTATTTCAAGGGGCATTACAACATGGAATCTGATGTACATACCTAGTGGACATACTGTTTAGTAACTATACTGCGGCTAGATTGTTGGCGGTAGTACCAGCATTCTTGTTTTGAAAGAGGTGTGTGTATAGATGTTGTGTGTGTGGAAGGGGGTGGGGGGCGAGTGTTGTCAGCAAATAACCGAGTATGCCAATGTTAGAAATCAAGATTTTCAATGTAAAAGATATAAAAAGAAAGAAAAGTGCTTTAATCCTAAATTTGAATTAGAAATATCATTATAAATGTAGGGATTTTGAGAAGAAAAGTGGAAAGAAATCAGATAAATAAGGACAGGGACTGAGGGAGGAAGAGGACCCTTAGGGAATCCTTTGCCCAAAAGCAGCAAGAGAAGGAAAAAAAAACCCCAAAACGCTGAGAGTGAAGCAGGCAGAGCCAACTTTCATCACACTCAGGATTCATTTACTCAGCACTCTCAGTGTCCTGAAATCTTTTTATGAGTCTTTGCATAATCTTTTTAAAACGTCAGTGAACCTTAGGTCTAAATGATTGCTTCATAAATTATTTTGCCTAGTGAATTTAAATAATTTTTCAGATAAGAGTTTCAGCTTTTAGATGTCCTACTGTATCCCGAAGCATATCTGAATAACATACACTGAATAAACCTGACTTATTATGTAGATCTGTTCCACTCCGACGCTGATGGTTAACAGTCTGGAGAGAGAACCATCAACTTCCACACAACTGGTCACCGTGCTATTATGTCAGAGTGTGAAAATCCTAAAGACTGATTCTGGCAGACTTATATAGTTTAGTATTTACTAGTATTTAGTTTAGTAGGCAGATTCTCTGGGCCATGTGGGCAGTTTTAAACATCACACCAATGGCTAGCATTTATTGAATATTTATTAAGTGCTAAATAATTGACATACTTGTATATTACCACATGTAAGTAAGTAACTCACTACTATTTTACAAAAAGGAAACTACATCTTGGAGCAGTTAAGTCTCTGAAAGGAACAAAGTCAGTGAGTTACATCGAGATTACACTTCAGTCGGCCTGGTAGTTAGGGGTGCCTCTCTGTGTACGCAAGCGCTGACATTTCAAAGTCACAACCATTCTGGGCAGTACAAACGGAGCAAGTACTCCTCTTTCCAAAATATCCTGGAGAAACAACTTGTGCTCTAAGTTGTGCGTTTTCCAAGCTAAACATGATCTTCTATCACTAATTTTAATGGAACAAACACTCAAAAATGAAACTAAATAAAATTTATTATTAACTGAAATTTTTAGTATTAACTGAAAAAATGGTCACCATCCCAAAAATGAGCATCTTGAAGAAGTAAATGATTATACAGATTATATCAAATACAAGAAATCCCATAAACAAACTTGCTCAATAAATCTTCATAATTCAAGGTCACAAGACATAAAATACTTCAGTAAGGTCACTGAAAACAGCTGTAAAAGCAGAAATTAGGTTCCCATATGTATATATGTATCCACCAGTTTCAAATAATAAAGCAATACAGTCGGAGTACCAATCTGAGGGGATACCAATACAGATGGGTATCAGCATCTCAACACTTATTAATGAAAAGTGGCAAGAGATTTGTGACTCTCATGAATATTGTTGTTTTTATTTTTAAAAACATCATGATAGTGATGGTGACCACTCCCTTTAAAACAGCACTTCCTCAGGACTCCAAATGTGAGCACAGTCTCAGCTTTACAAATATTTCAGCAGGAAAATTATTTTTTGTATTTGTGAATATTATGGCAATAAATTCATTATTTAAATTGATAAGTCCCCTAGTATAAACACCATACCTCAATTTCACGCTGCTTCTTTTTCTCTTCAAACTGTAATCGTCTCTGCAATTCTTCTAGAGCAGCTCTGTATATTGCATCTTGAGTATTCTGAAGTTCGATGATTTGATCAAACACAGCTCTCAGTTGGTTTAAAAGTGCCTGAAGAGATAAGACAGCTTTTTATGTAGAGCCCAGAATGCTTATTCCTAAGTTTTTCAAATAAATATTGATAATTAGTAAAAAGATATAAAACGGTATCAACTCACATTCTCAAAGCCCTTACTAGTTGTCCATTCGTTCATTCATTCATTCATTCACTCACTCATTATCAAACATTTACTGAACGCCTACTATGCAAGAGCACTATATCAGATCCTGGCAAAACCCCATAATTCTATATCACCATAGCAACAGCAGTCTGACATATCTCAAGCTCTCTATGCAAATCACCTCCAATCCTAACAACAACCTTACAAACTGGAAGTGTTGCCCCAAGTTTCAAAGCTAGTAGTTAGAGGCTGAGTGAGGAATAGAGCTATTCCATGGATTAGAGAAAAAGAATAGAAAGCACAGATTTCTTTTTCTTTCTTTCTTTTCTTTTTTTTTTTTTTTGGTGACACATACCAAATCCAAACATCAAGACTGTAACAAAGGAAATTCTTAATAAAATATAAAAAACAAATTCAGCAAGGTTTTTGAAAAAAGGGTATCATATTTTATACCAGGAATGAAATGATGGTTTAACACTGGGGGAGAAACACTGTCTTGAGAACATTTCAATGTCACTGTATATAGTTCATTGCTTATAAGTGTTACACAGTATTTTTCAGTATACAACTACCATATTTTCGTTATTCTTTCCCCTACTGCAGCACAGAAAGGAAACAGAAAGAGATCTAAAGCATAAAATCATTTATGTAAATAAAAAATACATCCATGCAAAATACCACATATATACCCGAGGACATAAAGCAGATACGTTGACACTGGTGCCAGCGGTGGGGAAGGATCAAGGGAGAGAAGCTGGGGAGTGGGTAAGGGAATAACATCAAATCAGAAAACATGGGAGGTCTTTCATGGGATGACAACAGTGTGCCATGACTGAAGAAGAGGATTAACTTGATCCTCTGCCATCTCAGGCTTTTAAAAAAAAACTGTTAACAATTTGAGGGGGTAAAAAGATAATTGCAATAGTGCAGAGAAAAAAAAATCATGTGTTAAAATTTAACACTTACTCATGATTTATAAAACATCTAAACAAACTAAGACTAGAAGGGGACCTCCTCAATTTGATAAAGGTCCTATCAGATGTCTTAGCAAACATTGCAGTCAATGTCGCAAGAATTGAACATCTCTTTTATATGTCCGCAGTAAGACACGGAGTCCCACCTGTGCTCCTAGTCAACCCAGCAAATATCCTAAGGCAAGGAAAAGCAACAGAAGGCATACCCTGTGGAAAGAAGCAAACTTTTTCCTTGTAAAAAACAGGATCTAAGCGGCTCTAGAAAATGGAATAAAAAAATGAATAAAAGATCAAAGTAGGGACCAGCCAAGTGACTCAGTTGGTTAAGAGCTCACTCAAGAATGCGAGCTCTGAGCAACAGCGGTTCGTTTCCCGGCCTGAGCTGAGCAGCAGCTGAGCTGCCAACAGGTGGCAAGACAGCTCAGCTAAAAAAAAATAAATAAAAGATCAAAGTAAAGAAATTAATAGCATTCCTACAGACAGCCAAATTCCACAAACGTAGTAATAACTTAATGAAATATTTACAAAATGTTTATCAGATAAATATGGTATAACTAACTATTGAGAAGTATAAAAGAAACCTAGAAAACTGAAGAAGCTCCAAGTTCATGGATGGGAAGATGTAATAAAGCTGATTTGGGGAGAAATTGACACCTAGGGCTAATGCTGTTTTGAAAACAATTTTAGAGTTAGTGAAGACATTTGCAATGCCATTCCCATCACCATCATCTGATGGATGTGTGCTCTATCCTGCTAAAATATTTCCCTCTGTGAAGGAACAGTAATACTTGGGTCCAAATTTCATTTACTAAGTTGTAGCAGCACCATTACCAGTTGAGCTAATGTCTGACACTTCAGTAAAAAAAACCCTGAAATTAGTATTTGCTAAATAACTTCCAGAACAACCTAATTCAAGAGAACTCAGATATTGCAAAATGACAGTTCACATTCTTGCTCATTTACTGCAAGGTACTTGTGGGAAACAACAATGCAGACTCGATTTGGTCACAAGAAGGACCTAACCAAGGACCGCTGTCCCTTCAGTTAGGCAGCTGTGAGAGTCACACAGGAAACACTGTAATATCTGAAAAGTTGTTTGTTCTTTTGGAGGGATCTTGCCTTTTAACAAAAAGGCAAAACAAAAGATAAAGATGGTATATTATTTTGTTTTAATAATGACTTATTTCCTCTAATTTGTTTTTTATTATAGTCAAATAAAAATTTATTATTTTTGGAGCAATTAATCTATGAGGTGATTTACTACTGTTTACTTCAAGCTAAGGGTGCAGTGTGGGCTTCTGTTAGCTATTTGTTCATACAGGATAACTGCAAAAGTGTCTTCGGTGGTGACATCAGTTTACAACAATTTACTGACTCAGGATTTTTCTCAACAATGCAGAAAAATTACAAAAATGTACACACACTCCTGCAACTGTCATGCCACAACTTCCAACATTAAAATTCTGTGTATCAAACAGCCTTGTTTTTCTTACTAAGTGATACAATAAAAATATACTTAATTTATGTCAGTAACAGATTATTTCAATCTGTTTTATATATTGGGTTTCTTAAAAAAACAAAGGACTCTAGTAATTATTTTAAACAAACCATCAAATTAAAAGTAAAACCACCAGCAAGGGACCATTTCAGAAATTATTATTAAGCCTTTAGAACAATGACTCTGTCAATGAAGCCAGTCAGGACCAACTCACATATAAACAGTCTGTTATCACAAGAAAACTATGTTACAGGCAAAAATATTTTCTCCCTTGGCATCTGTTCATATCAGTGGAAATCTTCTAGAGGCAAGAAGTGTGACTATTTAATTTGTTTCATACAGAATATTCATACATGTAAGTGGGCTAAAACTCCTACATTATCAGTTGCATGAGTGTCCTATTTACAATTAGACTGATTTCAGTGTGGATATTAATACTCAGTAGTTCACATGGTTTCTGAAACACTCACACACAAGATGCCTTTTAATAGTTGAAAAACAGTAGCAACTAACACTTATGCAACACAGACTATGATGAACAGTTTAAGTGAATTACATAGTTTAATTCTCATGAATCTATGAAACAGACGAGTATCGCGCCCTTTTTTTTTTTTCTTTTTTTTTAAGATTTTTTTTTATTGGGGAATTGGGGAATGGGAACAGTGCTGGGGAATTGGGGGAAGGGAAACAGACAAGTTGCTGTCGTTTTGTTCTTCAATCTAGTTGTGGAGGACGTTGCTTCACTGGCCCAAGTTGGCACCATC